ACTCTTTCCACAGAAGACTTCTGTGGCACGCCCATACATGAGACGTGTCATGGGCCTCTGCTCTGGTTGAGTAGGGAGCAGTGCCTGCCTGCCCTGGCCTTGTGGGGGCCGGTGGGACCCCCAGGTCTCTGCACGTGCGTCTGTAAGCTGTGGCCCGCAGATCTGCTCTGGCTTGGCCTGACTGCTGGACAGTCTCGGCCCCGAGCCCACCCTGGCTGAGCCTCCAGGATGTGGACCAGTTCCTGTTTCTCCCTAAACCCTCCCCAGCCTGGCCTCCCTTTGCCAAGTTCTGGCCTGGCTGGCCAGTGTGCTCAGCGGGCCCGGTCTCTCCACAGGGGGAGTACTCTGCCTTCGTGTACAGCTATGCAGAGGAGAAGCCACTGTCTGTTGGGCACAAAACGGCCGGCTACCTCCCCAGCCTCTTCTGGGGCTTCATCACCCTGGGCCGGCTCATCTCCATCCCCATCTCCTCGAGAATGAAGCCAGCCACCATGGTTTTCATCAATATGGTAAGTGACAGAGTGGCTTCCTTGCATGTCTTACAGACCCACAAGTGCCTGCTTACTCCTGGCCCACCTCTGCTGCAGGACATTTGCTTGACATTGGGCTCCACCAGCAGCAGGAAGATGTGGAGAGAGATGCTGGAGAGGAAGGGATGGAGATCTAGGCAGTGGGGCCTACCTGTGTGACCTCACAAAAGGTCCTTCCCCTCCCTGGACTTCTGGTTTTATACCCTCAAAAGCACAGAAGGGGTAGGCCAGCAGGTGGTGTGGTGGTTAAGGCGCTGGATCTCACATGGCCAACTCTGTGGTTTGAGTACTGGACCCAGCAGCTTAAGAAATACACCGAGTGTGTGTGCATGTGTGCCTAAAATCCTGAGAGGAGAATAGAGGAGAAAGGATTGCTGCATGGCCCTCCCCCCGGGGGGAGATTTCTCACTTTCTCTCTCTGTGTCTCTGCCACTCTCTGGCAAGTGCATGCACTCTGTGCTAAAAATAAATAAAATAAAATAAAACAAAAAACTCCACACAGAAGGAAGGTGCTGGAGGAGGAGGTTGCTCTGGTGTGTGGCACAGACCCCAGCAGACAACTGCCCAGAGCACAAGCGGAGCAAGTATTGGCCCGGTCCCCTGGGTTCACCTTGGTGCCTGACTGGCCAGACCCTCAGTCCAGTAGGGGCGTGCGGCAGGGATCTCGGTCCCCCGGGTTCACCTTGGTGCCTAGCCAGACCCTCAGTCCAGTAGGGGCGTGAGGCAGGGATCCTCAGCTTTGGGAATCAGTACGTCTGGGCTGGGGCCTGGGACTCTGCATTTTGTGGCTCTCCTTGGTGAGTTACGAGAGTAGCAGCGTAGCTGTGGTTGACCATTAAGGAATGCGTCTGCCTGAGGTGGGAGGTCTAGGCCCGAGCTGTGGGTTAAGACTTTCCTCTGAATGTGGATCTGTGCATGTTACCATCTATGGCCAAGGGTCCCGGTTACAGATTCCTGCAGGATCAGCTAGTCCAATCTCCTGCCTAGGCTTGAGCCACCTGGGGTGGTTCTGTCCAAGGGGTCCATAGTCTCTGTTTAAATACCTTCTACTGCCTGGTAACTCACTACCTTCCAGGCAGCCCAATCCATCGTAAGAAAGAACTTCTTTGGAGACAGCTGCTGGTGCATGGTTAGGGCAGCTAGACCCACATGGCCGACTACAGGTTTGAGTACCAGATCTGGTGGCTTGAGAAACACACTGGGTCGTGTGCGTGCGTGCCCAGAATCCCAAGAGAAGAATGGGGAGGAGAGATTGCAGTGTGGCCATCCTGCCCCCCACAGTGGGTAGGGGCGGTGCTGTCTTACTTTCCCACACTCTTTTCCCAGTGAACACACATATCTTGTGGCAAATTTTAGAAAAAAAGAAAAGAAAAAAAAAAAAGTCAACTACTTCAAGGCCTAGCAGCTGATTAAAAAATAGTTAAGACTTGGGACCAGCAGATGTCATAATGATTACGTCACTGGATTCCCACATAGTTAACCACAGTTCGAGTCCCAGACCCAGCAGCTTAAAACTCAGTGGGCGTATGTGCATGTGCCCAAAATCCCAAGAGAAGAATGGAAGAGGAGAGATTGCAGTGTGGCCATCCCCCCCAGGAGGTGATTTCTCACTTTCTGTCTCTGTCTCTCTCTCTAGCGAGCACATGCGGCTTATAGCAAAAATCTCTCTTAAAACAGTTGAGGCTTAACCCGAGTCTCCTAACTCCAATTCTTGTACTGTCTAGGCTTCTTCCCAAGTGAATTTTGCACAGGACTTATTCAGTATTGATACTGACAGCATGTTTCAGTTCTTAGGAGTAGGGTTATTTTTATAATGCTGTAATCACTGACAGAGGCGTTTTCAAAACTAGAAAAACTTCTGGGCTTGGTATCCCAGCACAGGGGTCTCTCCCTGCAGGTCAGCATCTGCCTGTGGGAATCCGAGCCAAATCCGGGGGTGCCCAGCTGGTGGCTACAGCCACCGCCCCCTCCCTGGGAGGCCAGCTTGGATTCCCAGAGGGCAGAGACTCTGCCACCACCTTCCCTCTACTCTCTGACGGCTTCCTCTCTGTGTGTTACAGAGGCGTGGAGGACTCTCATACCCCAGGCCACAGGGCAGAGCGGCCGATGACTTGCACGTGATTCCCTGTGGTCACAGATCAGGCTTTCGGCCAGAGGGCTGTGCTGCCGTGAATGGCAAACTGCAGGTGCCCCCACATGCGAGGCCCCATGCTTGCCCCCACGTGCGTGCCTGTGACTGGGGCTGGTGAGGCTGCGGATGGCAGCAGCACGATCCCATGAGGGCGCTGCCTCTCTCTCTCTCATGGAAGAAATAAAAAGTTTTAAAGCAGTAGAGTGGGACCTTGGGGACCGGCAGTATCACTCACCAAACGCTGACGAAGTGGGTGCAGTAGGCAGATTCACCTGCGCTTCGGTCCATCCTCAGGGCGTCCTTGGTGAGCCCCAGCCAGGGGTGCTGCAGTTCCCACCGAGCCCACAGGGCGGCGCGCTGGTCACACAGCACTGCCCGGGTGGAGCGGAAACTCCAAGCCTGCGGACCAACTCCTGACATTTCCTTTCTCAATGGACGCCTGGTTTTCCTGGTTTTCTGATCTACTCCACCTCTGCTGTGACAGGTTGGCGTGTTGGTGACATTCCTGGTCCTGCTTATTGTCTCCTACAACGTCAGCTTCCTGTTCGTGGGGACAGCGAGTCTGGGCCTGTTTCTCAGCAGCACCTTCCCCAGCATGCTGGCCTACACTGAGGACATTCTGCAGTACAAGGGTGAGTGGGCGGCTCAGCGCAAGGGGACATGGCGCTGTGGCCGGCGTAGGGTTGGCACGAGCTCCCCGCGCCCCACCGGATGCTCCGCTCCTGACTTTGCTGGGAATAGGGTAATTCTGACCCACATGGCTGCCTCCATTCAGCATTATAGGAGGGGACTTCCAAAAGTCCACGGAGGGCTGGCCCTATAGCCTAGTGGTTGAGGGAGCCAAATCCCACATGGCCTGCCACACTTCGAATCCCAGCCGGCAGGCTTGGATTCCCAGGGGCCAGAGACTCTGCCACCACCTTCCCTCTACTCTCTGACGGCTTCCTCTCTGTGTGTTACAGAGGCGTGGAGGACTCTCATACCCCAGGCCACAGGGCAGAGCGGCCGATGACTTGCACGTGATTCCCTGTGGTCACAGATCAGGCTTTCGGCCAGAGGGCTGTGCTGCCGTGAATGGCAAACTGCAGGTGCCCCCACATGCGAGGCCCCATGCTTGCCCCCACGTGCGTGCCTGTGACTGGGGCTGGTGAGGCTGCGGATGGCAGCAGCACGATCCCATGAGGGCGCTGCCTCTCTCTCTCTCATGGAAGAAATAAAAAGTTTTAAAGCAGTAGAGTGGGACCTTGGGGACCGGCAGTATCACTCACCAAACGCTGACGAAGTGGGTGCAGTAGGCAGATTCACCTGCGCTTCGGTCCATCCTCAGGGCGTCCTTGGTGAGCCCCAGCCAGGGGTGCTGCAGTTCCCACCGAGCCCACAGGGCGGCGCGCTGGTCACACAGCACTGCCCGGGTGGAGCGGAAACTCCAAGCCTGCGGACCAACTCCTGACATTTCCTTTCTCAATGGACGCCTGGCTTTCCTGGTTTTCTGATCTACTCCACCTCTGCTGTGACAGGTTGGCGTGTTGGTGACATTCCTGGTCCTGCTTATTGTCTCCTACAACGTCAGCTTCCTGTTCGTGGGGACAGCGAGTCTGGGCCTGTTTCTCAGCAGCACCTTCCCCAGCATGCTGGCCTACACTGAGGACATTCTGCAGTACAAGGGTGAGTGGGCGGCTCAGCGCAAGGGGACATGGCGCTGTGGCCGGCGTAGGGTTGGCACGAGCTCCCCGCGCCCCACCGGATGCTCCGCTCCTGACTTTGCTGGGAATAGGGTAATTCTGACCCACATGGCTGCCTCCATTCAGCATTATAGGAGGGGACTTCCAAAAGTCCACGGAGGGCTGGCCCTATAGCCTAGTGGTTAAGGGAGCCAAATCCCACATGGCCTGCCACACTTCGAATCCCAGCCTAAAGACTTGAAAAACACACCAAGCAAGTGTGTGTGTGTGTGTGTGTGTGTGTGTGCGCGTGCACGCGCCCGCGCACGCACACCCCAAATCCCAGCAGAATAGAGAAATGGAAGGAAAGGGATTATAGCGTGACCACATCCCATCGGGGGTGCTTTCTGCCCCTCTCCCTTTTCTCTCTGGTGAGCACACGTGCCCTCTAGCAATTAAAATAGTTTATAGTAAAATGGCATGAAAGTGTAAGTTTATGTTGGTTCCAATTTTTTAAAAAAAATCCACAGTTTTCTCATTTTCCACACACACATTTTTTTTTTTCGCGTATAGGGCATGTGTGCTTGCCAGAGACAGAGACACAGAGAGAGAGAGAGGGAAAGTGAGACGTCACCCCATTCCATCAGGGGTTCAAACCACATGTGCCCGGCATATGCTTTGAACTGTGCAGTTGGCCATATGGGATCCAGCCACTTTAATCTCCATGCCACCTGCTGGCCCTCCATGAACTTTATCTTTTTTCTCCTGTGTGCTTGCCAGAGAGACAGAGACAGAGAGAGAGACAGAAGGCGAGAAATCCTCCCCCCCCCCCCCCCGGGGATGGCCATGCCGCAATCCCTTCTCTTCCATTCTCCTCTTGAGGTTTTGGGCATCCACGCACACGTAATAAGTTTTAAGCCGCCAGGTCTGGGACTTGAGCTGCAATCGACTACGTGAGAGTCCAGTGACCTAACCGTTACGCCATCTGCTGGTTCCCCTCCATGAACTTTTTAAAGACCCACTTGTGCTTGTACCAATATGATTTCAGGCACAGAGAAGCAGTTAAGCTTCCTGCTTCCATTTCTTCTTCCCACAGTGATGTCCACTGAATGTAGCTGACATTGTGTGTAGGGTGCATGTAGTGGAGATCCTAAACTCGAAGAAGAAAAGCGAAGTTCTGTGGGAAAAGCCGTGGTACAGGAAAATGGACTATCAATAATCGTACCTCCCTGCTTTGCTATTGTTGTGGATGTTGTCAGAACAAAGACTGCACACCTGGTGTGGAGTTGTGGTCTAGCTGCTTTGATGTCGGGAATCTCGGTTCTCTCTGCAATCGCCCTCCCCTCTCCTCGCCTCCTATGTGCATCCAGCAGAGTGTATTTTTAATGAGTTCATTAAAAATAATTATGGTTTGAACAGTTCATGTTACCCTGAGAGGTAACTAGAGAGGCCCTAGAGGTTGGAAACCAGGCATTAAGGTGAGTGATTTCTTCAGAGAGAAGTGGGGGAAACTGGCAAACAGGAGGGTGGGAGCCACCGGAGCTGCTCCCACCCCAGCTGGCCAGTCATGAGAGAGCAGGAAAGGCTGGGTCCTTGGACCCACAGGATAACCCAAGTCACTGTAGCACATGAAGTCATCATTGGTCTTTAAGAAAGAATATTTCTTTCTTTTTTGAAGTGCACATATGCTTTCTAGAGGCAAGGGGGAACATTCCCCAGTGGGGCATGGTCACGTCGCAGTCCTCCTCCATTTCTCTATCCTGTTGGGATTTGGGGCATGCCCTCCTACACACCCAACATGTTTTTCTTTTCTTTTTTTTAAAATTGGGGGGGGAAGAGGATTTTGCTATAGGGCACGTGCACTCGCCAGAAAGGCAGAGAGAGACAGAGAGACAGAAAGCAAGGAACCACACCCAAGGGGGATGGCCACACCCCAATCTCTTCTCCTCTCGGGATTTTGAGCCCGCACGCACATGCATCTGGCATGCATTTAAGCCACTGGATCCAGGACTCGAACCATGTTCGACTACATGGGAGTCCAGCGACACAGCCATTATGCCATCTGCTGGTCCCCCCAACATGTTTTTTTAAAAAGAGGTATTTTATTTAACTTTATTAATTATTATTATTATCATTATTATTTTCCAATTTGATCAGAGAGAGAGAGAGGAAGAGAGAAAGCAAGCCACCAGGTCCAAGACTTGAACTGTGGTCGGCCAGGTGGGAGTCCAATGCCTTTAATCCCCATGCCACTTGTTGGCCCCCCAACATGTTTTTCAAGTCTCAGGAGTCAGGATTCAAACCCTGGTCAGCCTTGTGGGATCTTGCTCTCTTAACCAGTAGACTGTGGGGCTCACTCAAGAATAAGATTTCCATGGTGAACCTGTACATTTTTGTTTTATTTCCAAGTGGAAGTTTTATTATAAAAGCAGTACATTCTCACTTCAGAAGCCTCAAACAGTAGAAGTCTATTTTAAATTAGTAAGTGAAAGTAGCTGAAAATAATTCTTAGAGTTTGTTGCCTTCCTGATCCTTTCTGAGGACATAAATATATATGTATATTTAAGTCCAGATGACATCAGACTATATGCGGCTTAATGTTTGTAATCTAGAAGAAAAATTCATGTGATAGGAGGAATTAAAGAATCAAGAGAATGTGCATTTCTTTGGGTTCTGGCTTATCTGAGTGGGGTCGCCAAACGCCCCCATGCTAGAGCGGGCCTGCTATAAATTTTACTGCATTGTGACTCTGAAGAGGTCCTGGCCTAGATGAAATGGAGCAGAAGGTGCAGTCACCATCGGCCCAGCCCTCACCCACCTCACCCCGACTCGGGACGCAGGGCTGGGTCTCATGCGATATGCCCCAGGAACAGTCTCTCCCGCAGCCCATCCCAGAGTGGCACGGGATAGACACAACACGTGGCCACTCACCCAGTTCTGGGGATGGGGAGCTAAGAGTGCTGACTCCTTCCTCGCCCATCAATCTCTAAATCTCCAGAGATAAATCAAGAAATGAAATATCAGGGGGCCAGCAGGTGGCGTGGTGGTTAAAGTGCTGGACTCCCACATGGTCGATCATGGTTCGAGTCCCAGACCTGGCAGCTTTCTCACTTTTCTTCTCACTCTCTTTCTGGTCAAATTAAAATAATAATAATAAATGATAATAATAATAAATAAGTAATCCTGTAAAAAGAAAGAATATTATCACAATCACACAGTCTATCCATAGAGTGTGAGCGATCGCTCACTGCCGAGTTTAATCCTAATGTTATATCACTGGATTCTGTCTCCAAGTGACCATTCAAATCCATCCTCCTGTAGGTTCAGGCCTTCACCTGCTCAGAGTACTCAGTGGTGCCCAGTTTTTCCCAATTCCTTTTTTCTTTTTAATTTTTGGAGAGAGGTTTTTGCTATAGGTTGCATGTGCTCGCCAGAAAGACAGAGATAGAGAAGCAGAGAGACGGAAAGTGAGAAATCAACCCCCAGGGGGCATGACCACACCACAGTCCCTTCTCCTCCATTCTCCTCTTGGGATCTTGGGCACGCACATGTGTCCGGCGTGAGTTTAAGCCACCGGGTCGGGGACTCGAACCGTGGTTGACTACATAGGAGTCCCACAACATAGCCATTACACCATCTGCTGTTTCCCCCTCATTTTTTTAAGAATTATTTTAACTTTATTTATTTTATTTTTACTAGAGAGGCTGGGAGAGAGAGAGAGAAACAAGCCATCAGGTCCAGGACTCAAACCGTGGTTGACCATGTGGGAGTCCAGTGCCCTTAACCACCACGCCACCTGCCGCCCGCTTTTCCCAATTCCATGCTGGCCTCGGTCTTGCCTTCAGTCTGGCCTCCATCTAATCCGGCTGGTTCTGCATTAAAATCACCTGGAGCACCTGACTGGGCCTCATCTCTGGGCTGAGGGCCTCTGTCCCAGGCTGTGGGGTGATTGAGGTGCAGCCAGGAGCGAGGACCGCTCTAGGCCCCTCAGGCTGCTGCAGGAGAGCTGGTCACAGCCTTTTCTGCCTGCAGAGGGTTCTTCTTCCCCCCTTTCTCCCTTCAGAGCCTGTATTCTATTAGGTAGTCAGAAATCACGATGTATTTTTCTGTTTTTCTGTGCAAAAATGCATCATGACTTTCCCCGCCACCCAATAGCCAGGTGAACTGTTCGCCCTTCTGTGATGGCACAAAACCTGTCCTAACCCCTGTCCTTGGGCGTGTGATGAGCCCTCTGCCTGGAATCGCTCTATTCCGTCTCACCCCTTCACCTGCCTGCTCATCCTTCCAGACATAGCTCGCGTCCCGAAGCTTCTTAGCTCCCACTGGAAAGGTGCCCCTCCTTTGTGCTGCATTGTCATTACACAAGTCTGCTGTTTGCCCCATCTCAAAGCGTTTGTCCCTGTCACCTGCCTCTCCTAGACCACACGCTCTCAGCAGAGACAGGGACACTGAACTCCGACGTCGTCGGCAGGCCTGAGAGGCAGTCCTGCCTCCACACTTCCCAGCTGTCTGACCGTGTGCCATGCTACGTCCTTCTCTCTGAGTCTCAGTCTTCTCATCTGTAAAACAGGGATGTGGCTACCTACCTTTTAGGATTGTGGACCAGCCCTGTAGCCTAGTGGTTAGGGGCACTGAATCCCACATGGCCAATGGCAGTTGCAGTCCCAGGCCTGGCAGCTGGAGAAATACGCCAGGTACATGAGCACGTGCACACCGCAAATCCCAGCAGGATGGAGAAATGGAGGGGATGGGATTATAATGTGGCCATGCCCCATTAGGGGGTGCTTTCTCCTCTCTGTCTCTCTGGCAAGCACGTGCACCCTGTGGCAATTTAAAAAAGAAAGAAAGAAGAAAGAAAAAAGAAAGAAAGAAAAGGGTTTGCATACTAGAAAAAACGTCCTGTTCTTATGGAAGCGTCCCGGCCGGCGCACGGGCGCTGTCTGCTAACTCACTCACTGCGTACCCGTTCTCAGCACAGGACCTGACGCGGAGGCCTCAGTGCTGAGTGAGAGTGGCAGAGGTAGCTGGATTCCACTGGAACTCAGAGAAGGGCATTGCACTGAGAGAGCTCCACGGAGGCCTGTGGGCTGACTTCCAAGGGCATTGCACTGAGAGAGCTCCACGGAGGCGGGTGGGCTGACTGCCCTCTCCTGAACCTGCATTTACCAAACCCAATCCTTCTCTTTCTGGTCGGCACTTCAAAGGGCACTCCCAGGAGGGGTAGGGCAGGGCAGGGCAGGGAGCAGAATCAGAGCAGAGGCCTGGAGACAGGGAGGAATGCGAAGCCTAGTGTGGATGAAGATGTCACTGCTCTATTCGAAACACAGAGTGTCCGCATGTCGGCCACTGTGGCTCAAGCGAGGGCTGCTGTTTGCCAGGGGGGGACGGTCAAGGCGCAGTATGCCTCTCAAGGACTCGTAGCCAGATGGGGAGGTTGGCAGCTGGGGACAGTGGGGTGGGGCAGATAGTGGAGTGGGACAGACAGTGGGGTGGGTAAGAGCAGGACCAGGGGCTGTTGGAGCACAGGAGAGATGAATGAATCCAGACTTGGGCAGGGGGAGAAGCCTGCCCAATGAGGTCTGAACTAGGGCCTAACAGGCACGTGTCTGCAGAGGAGCAGGATGTTCTGGAGGGAGGGTCACCTGAGCCAGGACCTGGAGGTGAGTGCATATGAAGGTCAGAGCCCAGAGACTTGGTCCTGGCTGGCGGGGGCCTTGTGCGCAGGAGGTGTGAGAGATGAGCCCGAGCTACCAACAGGGATGGATTCTCGAGGCCCCGCAGGTCATATAAAAGCATTAGGACTGAATCCCGAGGCAGCGTTGAAAGGTTTAAGCAAAGAGCTGGCCTGGTTGTGAGTCGCCGTGCGCCAGCGTTACGCTGGGCGCTTTGCATGTATGTCAGTTATCCTCACGGCACCCTGTGAAGGAGCCGGGTGCCCATTTCACAGCGGAGTAACGAAGACCCGAAGAAGTTCCAGTGCTTGTCTGAGGTCACATGGCTAGTGGGCCACCCAGCTGGGCTTGGCGCCCACCTCTGACCCCACAGCTTGGGCTCTGAAGGCCTGTGCCATGCTGCAGACTCGGCGCGTGGCTGGCCAGTGCAGTGCCAGGCAGTGAAGACACTGGCTTGCCTACAGCAGGGGGCTGGGCTGAGGATTCAGGAAATCCTGGGAAGAAAGGCCCTGAAGACCAGGTCAGCAATTTCGGGTGTACCCTGAAGGCAGCTGAGAATGACTGAAGGTTTCAGAACAGGGACAATGACAGTAGAACATAGCATCCCTGAAGTTACAGGGAAAAGCCTGAGACATCTCAGCAACCCAAAACGGTCCTGTTAGACCTAGGCCGTCTTCCAGAGCAGTCCCAGAACAAGCGGCCTTGTGACCGCTGACTTCCGTCTCCTGAACCTGCCTTTACCAAAGCCAATCCTTCTCTTCTGCTAGGCTGTGCAACCACGGTGCTGGTGACCGGGGCAGGGATTGGCGAGATGGTCCTCCAGATGGTGGTTGGTTCGGTATGTGGAACCCCAGGGGAGGGGGAGCATTTGCAGCCAGCCCCTTCCGCACGCACGCTGCTCCTCTTCTGGCAGCGGGGCCCCACCAAGCTGGCCTTGTCTGTTCCCATTTTCCAGCCGGCCCTGAAAACCGGGCCTCTGAATGGGAGATCTGGAGGAGGGCACGGATGCGCGGGCAAGTCCAAAACAAACACGAGCCATGTCTCGGAGGGGGGCTGGGGGGACCCGTGGGAATCTGTTTAGCTCCCCGAGCCCAAGATGGGTTTGAGTTGCAGTCAGAGCTTTTCCACCTCTCGGCTTTTGGCCACCCTCCGTGGGCCTGACTTCCTGCTCACCTCCTGCCCTGTTCTGGACAGACATTCCATGTTTTATCTGCTCGCCTGGAAGTAAACATCCAGCGACTCGCCCTAGGTCAGTTACGCTTCTAGTAACGGACAGAGATGATCTCTAGTCTAGACCTTTCAGCCCCCCAAAGCCCCCTCATCACGATCTGATTCTCCCTTCCTTTGTCGATCCGGGGAGGAGG